GACGGAGGCAAAGAGTTGAGAATAACATCGATCTGGGTTACCAGATCCAGCCCGGATCCAAGAGCCTCCAATTCATTGATATAACCCATCATCCGAAAACAATGGTCGTGAACCTGTTGGCCCTTGGACATCTGCGCGGTCATGAACTGCTTCAAGACCTTCTGCCGAGTAGAACGGTTATACTCTTCATACATTGTCTTGAGACTGTCCAATATGTCATTGGATAGTTTCATCTGATCAAACTGCCTCTGTATTGGATTATCCAACGAGGCAATGATATAGCAGCGGGCAAGAGAATTTTGTCCTCCCATTCTTGGTATTCTCTTCTCCGGGCCTCAGAAGCCCTATCTCCCAAACGATCCGGGGTAGGATTCTTGGCCACCTTATCCAACTTTTCAGAGGTTAAGACTAGCATAAGGTTATGGTACCAGTCGGCATAGTTTGGGCCCTTAAGCTTGTTGTGTCTGTTTGCCATTTTCTGATAAAAGAACAAACATTAGTCCACAACCTAATTTGATTCATGTTCATTACATAGATATGACTTTTAATTTATGTTCCATTCCCATTTATTCATCTCTGAGATTTCCCTCCTATCTCAGTGACGGAGACWRCGAMTTGTCTCTRRARATGTGGGAAACCACATAGGGTGCATGGAGCCAACTGTTTCAGCTGCAAAACCCCACCACCTTTCTATGATGGATCATATCCACTCATAATATGAGCTTTCCCTTTGGCCTCTATCAGACAAGGTTCATATCCATTTTAGGTTAAACTTTTCTGTCCAGTGAGTGCTCACCCATCATATTCGTGAACGCCAAGGTACCGTGAGAGAGTTCCCATTTTCTGGTGAAGCCCCTCCCACATCGGTCTATGACGCCCCTATCATCTTGTGAAACATTCAGACAAATCCAACAGCAAATGGATAGCCCATTTTCTGGTGTGTTTCCTCATTACTGAAGGACCCATCTTCATGTTAATGATGGAAGGCCTTTAGAGAGTTCATCATATGAATCTCCCTATTACATGCACTCATATTGCTGGAGGGAACAAGAATTACACCCTAGCTTAATTTAGGTCAAACCAGAGTGGCTCCCATTGACTTTCATAAAGCCAGATTTAGGTGGGCCCTAATCAGCTAGGGTTCCGCACGTATCCTCTTCAGGAGGTGGGGCCCACCACTGAGGAAGATCATCCAATGATCTTTAGGGACACCAGGGCAATGATGTGCATTCAACCATGGTGTGCGCAAGAGCCACTATCGAATCTGCATGGGCCAAGTACTTATGGCCCATGTACGTAGCACATCACACATCCATACATCACATGTAGGGATAAATTGATCCAATCAATTAAATATCTATAAAGCCCATAATTAAAGCCCATAACATTAACCATTAATATTATCTAGGTATATGGGCCGAATTAGGGTTTAGCAGTTTGGCCCATATAGCTTTCCTGCAAAAGTGGGCTTTTAGCAGTTTTAACAATTTAAAACTGGGCCTTACAGGTTGGGCCGAATTAAACTCTTAATTAATTATCAATCCTTAGGCCTATTAGTGGAAATTAGGGCTGACAATCAGTCTTGATCGAACCCTAGATTCGGTCCAACCAGTTTGGACCAATCTGGTTCGAATGGGTCTAGGGTTTGATCTTTAATTAAAGATTTAATCCAAGAAAATGATTTGAAATTAAATAGTAATCAACGAAAAGCAACAATCAGTCAAAGAGGGTTGTTCGCACATCACATCCTACAAAACAGAGGTTAGATCACAGAATGTAGTTTCATAAACTACAAATCACAGATTGCGATATACCCATTTGCGAAATCTCCTTCCTGCGCTGCAATCTTCGATCCAAGAATAATAAAATAGAAACCTTAAATTTTCTATTAATATTACATCAAATCGAATCCTATACATTCAGTCTAAAAAATAAAAAAAAAAATTATTTTACAAACCAAATGTAATAAATAAATCAAGAAACTACAAAATCGCAGTTTTCTGTGCCAATCAAGATTCGATCTCTAGTTGTACAAACAACCCATGAATCAAGAAAATTATAAAGAACAATTCTAAATAAAATTCAGATTTATAAAACTTAATTTCAGACCATTCGCCCTCTATCTAGGAAACTATTTTCCAGAAAAAAAACCTAATCTGCGCAAATCGGGTAGAACGCCTTCTGCCCATTTGCGCAGGTTCAGATCTACATTAATTCGGCAACTTGAACCATGGTTCTAATACCACTGAAGGGAATAGACATCCATCATATGGATGGTTGAATCCTACAGGTAGGTTGGGCGAAATTTCAAAAATTTCCTCTCCCCTCATATGGGAACTGTTTTAGAAAATCTGCATTTTCAAGGATCAATCTTGAACCATAAACCAAACCAGATCTGAAACCAGAAGCAGGAGAGGGATATACCTGATACGGAGAAGCAGTATTTCCCAATGGAGGTGTTCACGCCCAAGGAAGGAACCAAAAACTGCTCCCACTGAAAATGGCGTAGTGCATGATGGAGCAGAATCAACAATATTCGTCCAACAAACCGAATCCTTCACAAGAATTCGCTAGAGGCTGTGAGCACAACTTCAGATCAGCCTTTCTCCAAAGACTGATATCAAGATCCAATCTTGATCATTCCTGCTAAAAAGAGGAGATTGAACTACGGTAATGGCGGCGGTAGGACGGAGGCGGCAAGGAGAAAATAGCTCAGTCTCACTGGGTGCTATGATCTCTCTCTGATTTGAATGTGATCATCTTCTAAAGCTGCCGCCCCCTTCTCTTTTTATAACCTTAAAGGGATCAGCTCCTAATTCCATTAGGAGTTGCGGATCCAAAACATATTTGGATCTGAATTCCCTTTAAGAGATAAGGATAGACCCTTATCTTATCTACAGATTAGATCAGCCCTCTCCTAATCTGATTAGGAGGTTTCCAGATCTGAATCTGTATTTAGATTTGGACTCTCTGAGTGGATAGGGTAAGACCCTATCCTATCTGCTAATCTAATCTCAGATTCGCCCCCACTTTAACTGATCAAATCAGCCCAGTTCGAAATGGGCTTTAGGCCCAATAAGAATATGTACTCACTTAGCCTTCCAAATTGCTGCCCAGTTGGGCTTCCTTGTAATGGCATGGGACCCAAGCATTGATCTACACATCAGCCACAAGGGTTCGGCCCAACCTTTGTTACAAGGCCTAGCTGAATTCACTAGAAAGCCCAGTGAACCCCTTGAGCCCATCACATGAACTCTATAGGCCCAACACTTACACTAAGTGGTCCTTAGGCCAAGCCACCTTGTAACACTCATGGACTGTGGGCAGATACAAGATTAGCCCATCAGGTATTACCCTCAATGGTCTTACATTTGACCTCTTAGCCCATAATGATCATACACTGCCCGACAAGAGAGGACCTCTCCCTTGGTTGCAAGGAAAAGTGTTGCACTCTCTACTCACATTGATCTAGGGAATTAAAACATTTTGCAAACAATTTGAAACCGTATCATATATATATTTATATCCATATATAAAATATATTTTGCAAAACAAATCTCAACGATTAAAATCGGTTGCCGACAGTCTTGGTTTCCATCAGAGAGAGTGGATCCTCGATAATTACCTTTGTCTGACAAAGGGGCTGATCCTGTCACTATGATCACCCACTCAGATGAATTCTCGGACTGTCCCAACATACCCAGGTTTTGACCCCTCTAAGGATCTCACTGATTAGCATATCAAAGACAGCCCAATCCGACACCTAGTGCAGTATCATAATCGAGTCTAGGGGTCAGATGTAAGTTTTCAATTTTGCCCACTAATCACCAAGGTCTAGGGCAATACTAGAAATCTGGTCTGGTTCAGGGTTTCAAGTAAACATATACTACATGTACTTTGGGTCTCACCCTGGTAGCTGAGACAGGCCACCCCAACACTTGGCGGCACACCAGTGTCAGCCTTAGCAGGATAAATCTCCCTAGACTTTTCCAATGGCTGTGAGCATTCTAAACTAACACGAGTCTCATTAAGTGTCCAGTTTAAGGGTATTACAGAAAAACACACCACAAGAACACGAATCAAATATGCACTTTATTCATTTACAATAAATGTCATAAGTACATCAATGAAACAGGGTGAGACCCAAAGCACGAATCAAATATGCACTTTATTCATTTTACCTAGAAAACTGAAAAACAGAAATTCTGAAATTGGTTTTATCTGGTAGGATACATCTTTGATCAAAGCCTGAGAGGAATAACACGACCAGTACTAATAGCCCCAACAATGAAACAGGGAATTCATCTTTTTTTGCTGCTTATGAGAAAGTTAGCTCTGATGGAGGAACTTGCCTGCCATAAATTTTGTCAAGGGGAGGATGGAATCTTGTGTAATTAATAGAGTCTGACTCTTAAACCGTGTGGGTGACATGTAATATGGCATAAGGTCCATCCAGTTCAACAGGCCAGCCCAAATGGATTATCTTGACTTTTTACGCCATTAATATTTAATTAGAAGGATCCTAATCAGTTGGATTTCCAACTTTCCCACATTTTCTCTGCATATTCCACTTTTCTCAAGATATTGTCAAACATGGACCAGATAAAATATTGGATAGCAAATTGTGCTACAGTTTTACCAATCAAATGAGATGGTGTTATATCATCCAAAGCTTGAAAGAACCATCAAAAAACTGATAGTTTAGATAATTCATGCTAATTTTGAGTAGTAATAAATTTGTACCCGGTACTTTGAGGTAATGACATAATTATTTAAACTTTTAAAAATAGACACTTGGGTCATTCTGTCAGTTAAACATTACATAATTTAAAAAATACCTTCTTTATGTAGTATTTCTTAGATCATTCTATCGCTACCCCCAAATTATAGGATACCTATCCATAATTTACCCTAAAAAATAAGGCACATAACAAAGTGAAGTTGGTAAATTCAGTCACTGTTTGGAGGCATGAAGGGATGAGAGAAAAAGGGGAGAGGGATTAAAAGGCAAAATCTATATATTATAGACTCATTAATTTGATGTTTTATTCGTTGTTTTAATACTGAAATCGTGTGAATTGAAAGACCCAGTTTAACTTATATTCCAGTACAACATCCATATCTAAGAAATATCCATTAACTAATATCGGTAATCCATAAAGGCGGATAGGAGGCATATATACTATCTAATTAATTAAGGCGTGGGAGGTTGTCTTGAGCAGCGATTGTTGATCTTGCATGGCCGTGGTTTTTTGGGGATGCAAGTCTTGTATGGTTCACCATTCTTGCCGCAACTAATAGCTGGAGCTTTAGGATTAAAACCAATTACGCCACCCTTTTCTGCAGAACAAATAAATAGAGAATAGATAAATGATGATCAAGGGTTCATAATTCAACAACAGAATGGTACTGATCGAACCAAAAAGGAATAGAAGAACAGCTAGAATTCATTTAGAGGAACCCAGTAGTCAGAACAAGAGTTACTCATATGATGATGATATTCGTATTCTTTTCAGGGATATATGTTTCACCCCAGCATCATTATACTCCGACTCTGAATCCTCGTATGTTTTCCATAGACTATTGAAGCTTTTAAACGGAGATATAAGAAATATGAAATAACATGTTCTTACCTAGGTGAGACATCTCAACCAATGGCCGAGCCCCAACTTCAGTTGGTGGGATGAAAAAATCTGAAACTAAAAGGATGCAAATTAAGGCAATGACCTTCATTTTGTTGTTTCGATGTGTTAAGCTGTCTTCTGCTCCAACCCCTATTTATAGATCATTCTCTGGTGGATGGGAGCCGGAGGGGTGAGTGAGAGAGAGAATTGGGGGCGGCTTTGTTGTCCTTATTATCTTCATGGGTCTCTCTTTCACCACAAATTTTGTAAAATCTAGATAAGATTGATTAATACATGTCTTTCTTTGATTAATACATAAATTGGTTAGTTGATTAAAACACTAACGAATCATGAGAATGATTTTGATCCACCATTGATTAGCTCAAAGTTTGAAACAACAAAGAATTATGAGTTCCTGACATGAATTAAGATAGCGAAAAGAGAGAAGAGAAATAAGATGTTGTATTTGGAGACAAAAATCATACTGTGAAAGATGAGATGCAATGGATTTTAAACATGGGGAATAATTTCAGCAAGATAAGATTGGACTTTGATTGAATTTTTATATTATAAATTATTAATGAATTAAACTGGAAATACCTAAGATGCTATATTTTTTTAATAATATAAAACAGAAATCACTTATAGATTATAATCTACTTGAGCTGACCAAATTGACTACTGGGCGTCTGGGCCATGTTTGTCACAGGCTGATGGATGATGGACCATTCAAAATTATATTCCGAGATTTAACGAATTCAAAATGACAAATACACGTTCATTTTGTCCCTCATATGAGAGAGAGGGACCATTCAAAATTTGACAGATTCTCCTCTCCTTTGACGATGCACATCACGATTCACGAGAAAACTGTGGGGTGTAGAAAGCAGCATTGAGTCATTGACTTCAAGTCTGTCTTGCAGTGAGAAAAGAATCCGGATTTCCTGCTGCACTTGTTTGGTGTGTGCCATGATAATAAGATTGTAACACGTCACGTTTCAAATATATAAACGGATGGTTTGCTTCTTCTTCTTCTACTCTCTTTCTCCATCCTCTCTATTCCTCCCTCCATCGTCATCTCTGAACCAATGAACCAGAACAGCCGTAGCAACAAAGCTACCGAATCAGTTCATTAGCAAACTGAACTGTTCACAGTCAAAATAACAAATACAGGTAGCCTAAAACACCTTGACTAACACCTCAATTGTTGGAAAAAAATTCAATCAATCTAAAATGTAAAATCCCCCGGTTACCAAATTCAGGCGGGTTTTCTCTCAAGTTAAATAAAAGCATATTTTCCACATAGAAATAACCCAAAAGATTATTTATGAATTAATAAGATAGAAATAAAATCTTCAAACCTATCTTGCAAAGAACGGCCAACAACAGATCAAAAACTTTAAAACATTTATTAAAAACAAAGGAAGAGATTATAGAGTAGACCAATCACCAATGAGGCAAACCACAAAAGAACCTCATATATGAAAAAATGGTTAGAAAAAAATAAGAAAAAGAAAAGGAAAAGGAAAAGAAATGAAATGGTGCATCAAGAAGCGAAAGGAGCGATGAGATTTCCCAACGCTACTTAACAGTTTGAAATAAAATTCCTGCCCCTTGTCAATGCTTGAAGATGAAAGGGCGGTCTGCAATCATTAATGGCGTTTGCACAGCTCTGAGGTTTGGTATGCAAGAGTTCCCTGTTCTCTCCTAATCCTCGAATTGGCTTTTTTTTTTTTTTATTTTCTGTTTTATTAATTTATTATTATAAAAATATAATAAACCATTTAAATCTCATGAAGAATCATACAAAGCATGATGTGTTACAATCTCATTGGGAGTGCAGGAAATCCAACCTCGTGAGAAAAAAAAAAGGAACAAATAGACAAAAGCGTACAGCAAAGTGGCTCTGTTGGCATGTTAGTTGGATAATCCTAGCAGAAACATGTTAGCGGATTCAAATCTTTGCGTCCCGAGGTACGGAAGTAGCATTTTACTGTCAAACAAGTAGCCCTTGTAGAAATGGAATTACTTCCACATTTCGATGACAAATGAAATTTGTTTAATTAATATAATAACCAGTGAGGATCCGTGCGATGTACGGAAAATTTTGAAAGATTTAATAATTTTATTTTTTATTAATTAATAATCAAAATTTGTTGTTAATTAACTAAACGTATTTAAAGTTATTGTTAATATCTAAAATTTTAATAATTGCATTTTTCGTTTAATGTTGATTAAAGAAAATTATAATTATTAATTTAATCTAAATAAACGTTTTTAATAAATTTAGTTTTAATATTAATTTGTAGTAATTTTAATAATTATTATTATTTTTAAATGAAATTTTGATTAACTTTAAATAAATAAAAATAATTACAAAAGCTAACTTTTTTATTAATTTCACTAATAATTAACAATTATATAGGAATGACAATGGGGTGTGTTCAAGGCGGGGCACCCCATCCCCACCTCGTCCCTAGTGTCAGGTGGGTTTAGGGAAGGCAACCACTCCTCAATGTCGTGCAAGTTCAAGGGCAAATCACCCCACACTCCTCATTAAGGATGGGGAATCCTTGAATTTCCTCGCCCTCTACCCAGTATTGGGTGGGTTCAAGTAAGGTGTAAATCAGGTTGTGTTAGGCCGACATGACATGACCCACATGTGACCTACACAAAGTGCAGGCCATGCCGTGCTGGCCCACAAGGCGTCTAGGGCCATGCCTCCCTCCCATGGGATAGTTGGGGGGGGGGGGGGTTCAGCAAGGCCCATGGCCCGAGCCTACACAGGACTGTGTCATGTTGTGTGCCGAGATGGTCCATGGACCAAGCCTTGGGCCAGGCTAGGTCACAGACTGAGCTAAGCTATGAGAGGTCCATTTAAAAAAATTCAAAAATATGTTTAAATTTTTATTTCATATGATTTTTTATGTATAAAATTGTTTATATATACAATTAGTCCTATTCATGGGCCAAGTAGCATGACGGCCCGGCCCGGCCTGACCCATTATTTTTCAGGCTTGGACAAAATTTTAGGCCCATAGTCTTGAGCTCGGGCTTTATCAAGTAAGTCCGACCCGATACTATTACATATATATGCTTCTTAAATTATAATAAATATCAATTTACTATTATGAAATATAAATTAGTTTATTAATTTATTAAATTATTACTAAATTAATATAATATTAGTTTGTAAAAGTATACTAAAAATAAGACATTTTGTGTACAGACCAGGCTTCAGGCTTGAGCTCGAGCTTGAGCTTTGGGCTTTGTATAAGGGCTAGGCTCGGGCTCAAGATCTAGGCCCGATGGTCAGGCCAGGCACGGGCTTGGGCTTGCACATTTTTTGTTGATAAAGAGGCTCGTGTTAATTTTCTACTATTTATAGATTAAATTGCAATTACTATTACTTACATTTTAAAAATAATTATTGTTAATTATATTACTATTATTAATTAAAACACATTATTTACAATTAATTTAATTTTTTAATTATTTTTAGTATTTTAATTAGGCTTTAGGTTTTTAAGAATTTTTGGATTTTTAATTAATTTTTGGTGTTTTTTTCATTATTATTCAGTATTTTTCAATAATTTTCAGCATTATTTTTGCATATTAGTCACTACAAAATTAATTTGCATTTTCTTTTAGTAAAAATAAATTAAGTAACTAAATAAATACCATAGTGTTCATTAGTACTCTAATTATTTTCAGTATTTTAATAATAAAATACTTTTTAATATTTATTCAATAATTTTTTCATATGTGTAAATTTTGCAATAAAATATTGTTAATAAAATAGGTTCTATATTTTAAATTTTCATTAATTTTTATGATTTTTAAAGTGTTCATTATGCACAATAAAGGTCTCAACTCATAAAAATTATTAATTAATTAAAAAATGCATTAATACAAAGTTATCTAATAATATTATTAAAACTATCAATTAATATTTTTATATTTAAATTTATTATTTTTAATTAATTTTTGTTATTTTTTATTATTATTCAGTAATTTCTACAATAAAATATTGTTAATAAAATGGGTTCTACATTTTAAATTTTCATTAATTTTTATCATTTTTAATGAGTTCATTATGCATAATAAAGGTCTCAACTCATTAGTTATCTAATAATATTATTAAAACTATCAATTAATATTTTTATCTTTAAATTTCCTATTAAATTTGATTTTTAAGTGGAATTGAAACACATTTTTAATATTTGTTGAGTTTCGTTAATATTTATTTTTAGTGAAAGTTTAGTGGATTTTTAAATTAATAATTTTTTGGTTGTTTAACCTCAACCTATTTATATTATTTGATTTATATTATTACTATTCTCTCTCACACACACAATCTCTCTCTCTCTCTCTCTCTCTTAAATATCTTTTGTAAATGTCTCTCTCTATAATAGTGTATAGCTTTAAAACAAAAAGAAAAAAAGAAAAATGCAAAAAATTGAGAAATTAGATAAATAACTTCTCTCAAAGGAGATGGCTGCTAACATGGATAGACCAATTTTAATATATATATATATAGACACACACACACATTATATAGAATTTAAAGTGCATTTTTATGTTTATAGACAATATATTATTAAACCAACTTATTTTGGTATAATATCTACTTTGTTATTCTCTTATAGATTATATATCATATAATTTAAACATTATAATATATTGCAAATTATAAGTGGTGTTTTAGTAAAATGCTAACTATAGGGTAGATTTTAGTAAATCTATGAAATTATAAGGGTATTTTAGTAAATGACCCTCGCACAGGTCCTCACTAGTTGTACTATCATTACATAATTCGTTATTAACTTTGTAAAATATTAAATTATTATTAATATGAATATTATGAATTCTATTATAATTATTTTTCTACTTTTAAGATTTTTTTATTTACTACATAATTTTGTTATTTTAACTATTTAAAATTTTGTCATGTTAAACATTTTGTTATTTAAATATTTAAAAATTTTCATAATTTAACAGTTCAACCGCCCAAGTCAGCGGTTCTCTAACCAAATAAACGAATTTTTGACAAAAAGCGGTTTTGAGGTGAAACGGTGTTCAATTCCCAATTTTTCTGGTCTAACAAACTTCTTTGATCCAATTTTGAAAATACTGTCCCCGTCAATCCAATATTCAATTTGATGATAGA